CTGCTTAAGCCAGTACATGTCCAGGCCCGTCTAAAGTTTGCTAGAGTGCATTTGGATGATCCAGAAGAGGATTGGGAGAGTGTCATATGGTCAGATGAAAACAAAATAGAACTTTTTGGTAAAAACTCAACTCGTCGTGTTTGGAGGACAAAGAATGCTGAGTTGCATCCAAAGAACACCATTCCTACTGTGAAGCATGGGGGTGTAAACATCATGCTTTGGGGCTGTTTTTCTGCAAAGGGACCAGGACGACTGATCCGTGTAAAGGAAAGAATGAATGGGGCCATGTATCGTGAGATTTTGAGTGAAAACCTCCTTCCATCAGCAAGGGCATTGAAGATGAAACGTGGCTGGGTCTTTCAGCATGACAATGATCCCAAACACACCGCCCGGGCAACGAAGGAGTGGCTTCGTAAGAAGCATTTCAAGGTCCTGGAGTGGCCTAGCCAGTCTCTAGATCTCAACCCCATAGAAAGTCTTTGGAGGGAGTTGAAAGTCCGTGTTGCCCAGTGACAGCCCCAAAACATCACTGCTCTAGAGGAGATCTGCATGGAGGAATGGGCCAAAATACCAGCAACAGTGTGTGAAAACCTTGTGAAGACTTACAGAAAACGTTTGACCTGTGTCATTGCCAACAAAGGGTATATAACAAAGTATTGAGAAACTTTTGTTATTGACCAAATACTTATTTTCCACCATAATTTTCAAATAAATTCATTAAAAATCCTACAATGTGATTTTCTGGAATTTTTTTCTCATTTTGTCTGTCATAGTTGACGCGTACCTATGATGAAAATTACAGGCCTCTCTCATCTTTTTAAGTGGGAGAACTTGCACAATTGGTGGCTGACTAAATACTTTTTTTTCCCCACTGTACATATGAGATGAGTAGTGCAAGATATGTTAACATTATTAAAGTGACTAGTGTTCCATTTCTTAAAGTGGCCAGTGATTTCAATAGGCAGCAGCAGCCTCTGATGTGCTAATGATGGCTATTTAACAGTCTGATGGCCTTGAGATAGAAGCTGTTTTTCATTCTCTCGGTCCCAGCTTTGATGCATCTGTACTGACCTCGCCTTCTGGATGATAGCGGGGTGAACAGGCAGTGGCTCAAGGGGTTGATGTCCTTGATGATCTTTTTGGCCTTCCTGTGACATCGGGTGCTGTAGGTGTCTTGGAGGGCGGGTAGTTTGCCACCGGTAATGCGTTCGGCAGACCGCACCACCCTCTGGAGAGCCCTGCGGTTGCGGGTGGTGCAGTTGCCGTACCAGGCGGTGATACAGCCCGACAGGATGCTCTCAATTGTGCATCTGTAAAAGTTTGTGAGTGCTTTAGGTGCCAAGCCAAATTTCTTCAGCCTCCTGAGGTTGAAGAGGCTCTGTTGTGCCTTCTTCACCACACTGTCTGCGTGGGTGGACCATTTCAGTTTGTCAGTGATGTGTACGCCAAGGAACATGAAGCTTCCACCTTCTCCATGTGGATAGGGGGTGCACCCTCTGCTGTTTCCTGAAGTCCACGATCATCTCCTTTGTTTTGTTGACATTGAGTGAGAGGTTATTTTCCTGGCACCAAACTCCCAGAGCCCTCACCTCCTCCATGTAGGCGGTTAGGTCATTGTTGGTAATCAAGCCTACTACTGTTGTGTCGTCTGCAAACTTGATGATTGAGTTGGAGGCGTGCTTGGCCACGCAGTCATGGGTGAACAGGGAGTACAGGAGGGGGTTAAGCTCGCACCCTTGTGGGACCCCAGTGTTGAGGATCAGCGAAGTGGAGATGTTGTTTCCTACCTTCACCACCTGGGGGCGGCCCGTCAGGAAGTCCAGGACCCAGTTGCACAGGGCGGGGTTCAGACCCAGGGCCTCAAGCTTAATGATGAGCTTGGAGGGTACTATGGTGTTGAATGCTGAGCTAGAGTCAATGGACAGCATTCTTACATAGGTATTCCTCTTGTCCAGATGGGATGGGGCAGTGTGCAGTGTGAGGGCGATTGCATCGTCTGTGGATCTATTGGGGCGGTAAGCAAATTGAAATGGGTCTAGGGTGACAGGTAAGGCAGAGGTGATATGAACCTTGACTAGTCTCTCAAAAAACTTCATGATGACAGAGGTGAGTGCTACGGGGCGTTAGTCATTTAGTTCAGTTACCTTTGCTTTCTTGGGTACAGGAACAATGGTGGCCATCTTGAAGCATGTGGGAATAGCAAACTGGGAAAGGGAGAGATTGAACATGTCAGTAAACACACCAGCCAGCTGGTCTGCACATGCTCTGAGGACGCGGCTAGGGATGCCGTCTGGGCCGGCTTAAATGTCTTACTCATGCTTAAATGTCTTACTCACGTCGGCCATGGAGAAGGAGAGGCCACAGTCCTTGGTGCTGGGCCTCGTCGGTGGCACTGTGTTATCCTCAAAGCGGGCGAAGAAGGTGTTTAGCTTGTCTGGAAGCGGGACGTCGGTGTCGGCGACGTGGCTGGTTTTCCTTTTGTAGTCCGTGATTGTCTGTAGACTCTGCCACATACGTCTCGTGTCTGAGCCGTTGAATTGCGACTCCACTTTGTCTCTATACTGATGTTTTGCCAGTTTAATTGCCTTGCGGAATGAGTAGCTACACTGTTTGTATTCTGCCATATTCCCAGTCACCTTGCCATGGTCAAATGCGGTGGTTCACGGTTTCAGTTTTGCGCGAATGCTGCCATCTAGCCACGGTTTCTGGTTAGGGTAGGTTTTAATAGTCACAGTTGACACAACATCACCAATACACTTCCTGATAAACTCAGTCACCGTTTCAGTGTATTCGTCTAAATTATTTTCGGAAGCTACCCGGAACATATCCCAGTCCGCGTGATCAAAACAATCTTGAAGTGTGGATTCCGATTGGTCATACCAGCATTGAATAGTCCTTAGCACGGGTACTTCCTGTTTGAGTTTCTGCCTATAGGAAGGGAGGAGCAAAATGGAGTCGTGGTCAGATTTGCTGAAAGGAGGGCGGGGGAGGGCCTTATAACCATCCTGGAAGTTCGAATAGCAATGGTCGAGGATTTTAGCAGCGCAGGTACAACAGTCGATATGTTGATAGAACTTCGGCAGCCTAGTCCTCAAATTTGCTTTGTTAAAATCCCAGGCTTCAATAAATGCAGCCTCAGGATATGTGGTTTCCAGTTTGCATAAAGTCCAGTGAAGTTCTTTGAGGGCTGTCGTGGTATCGGCTTGAGGGGGGATATACACGGCCGTGACTATAACCAAAGAAAATTATCTTCGGAGATAATACGGTCGGCATTTGATTGTGAGGTATTCTAGATCGGGTGAACAGAAGGACTTGACTTCCTGTATGTTACTACAATTACACCGTGAGTCGTTAATCATGAAACACACACCTCCGCCCTTCTGCTTCCCTGAGAGATATTTATTCCTGTCTGCGCAATGAACTGAGAACCCATCTGGCTGGACTGATTTCGACAGAATATTCCCAGAGAGCCATGTTTCCGTGGAAACAAAGTATGTTACAGGCCTTGATGTCTCTCTGGAAAGAAATCCTTGCCCAGAGCTCGTTGAGCTTGTTAACCAGAGACTGAACATTAGCGAGTAGTATACTTGGAAGCGATGGGTGGTGTGCGCGCCTCCTAAGTCGAACCAGCAGGCCGCTCCAAGTGCCTCTCCTCCGCCGACAATGTTTTGGGTCAGCCACTGGAATCAGTTAAATTGCCCTGGGGAGAGCAAACAAAGGATCTGCTTCGGGAAAGTCGTATTCCTGGTAAAACATAATACATAAAAAAAACTAAATACCGCAAAGTTTCCTAAGAACTAGTTGCAAGGCCGCCATCCTCGTCGGCGCCAGGTACAATCGAGTGTGCACACACATAAGTGTCCTTGTCTGTTCAGGAAATGTCCATTGATGAGATGTAGTGAAGGACAGGAGATAACAGAGAACCATAAGTGTCAGGCTGAGGCGGGGGATGGTAGCCTACCTCATTAGTAAAAGGCTACATAGTTTGTCTCTATGTCCTAGCCAGAGAGAGGATTTGAGAGAGGGCTTTTAACAGTGGCAATGATGTAGGCTGTGTGTAGCGGTTAGCGGCTATGATATGAAGGTTTGGCTTGAAAAGTTTTTTATGCCTGGTCACAGACAGCTAATGTGTTGTGCACTGAAGTCCACAAGCGAAGGGAAAAGGTGAGAGGAGGAGAGCCGGTAGACGCGAGAAGGAATTATACAACGAGCAAAGTGCTCATGCTGTTTGTATGTGGCTGCTATGAAAGTGAACTGTGTTTTCGTGTGATCAGGGGTGTATTCACTGTTGAAATGTTTTTCTTAAACGGAAGCAAACAAAACAAAACGGGGATAAACATATCTGAATTTTTCCAATAGAAACTCTCGTTTGCAACTATTGGACTAATGATTACACCCTAGATCAGCTAGATGCAGGCAAGAGTGTGCAAGGCGGTATTGAATGTTTCACTGTCTGTCACCTTGATTACTCCAATATGTCTCTCAACCTGTGTACCTACGTTGTAAACTTTCATTCATAGGCTCGGTTGTAGCAACCTCATGATGGGTATAGGGAAAATATGAGTATCATGTAGTAGCCTAAACCTATTGTCACGCCCTGGCTCTGGGGACTCTTATATGTTGAGCTAGGGTGTGGATTTTCTATGTGTCATTTTCTATGTTTTGTTCTAGTTCATGTATTTCTATGTTGGCCAGGGTGGTTCCCAATCAGAGGCAGCTGTTGCTTGTTGTCTCTGATTGGGGACCATACTTAGGCAGCCTGTTTGGCACTGTTCATTGTGGGATCTTGTTCCGGAAGGTTTGTGTTCAACCCAGGACTTCACGTATCGTTTGTTTTGTTGTTTTGGTTCGTGTTGTGTACTTAAAATAAAGTATGTACGCATATCACGCTGCGCCTTGGTCCGCTTCATCTAACGACGATCGTGACAGAAAATCCCACCAAAGGAGGACCAAGCAGCGTGTCCAGGAACAGACAGACTGGACTTGGGAGGAGATCCTGGATGGGAAGGGATCCTGGACTTGGGACGAGATTCAGGCCGGAATGGATCGCCGTCCTTGAGAGGAGACTGTGGAGGCGCGCTACAGAGAGGAGCAGCGGAAACGCAGAGGGTACCGGCCGAGGAGGAAGCCCGAGAGACAGCCCCAATAAAAAAAAATTTGGGGGGCTAAAAGGGTGGTTGGCGGAGCCTAGAGGTAGAGCAGAGCCAACTCCCCGTACTCAGGCTAGGGAGCGTGAGACTGGGCAGGCTCCGTGTTATGCGGAGCCACGTACTGTGCCGCGAGTGTTCCGGCACAGTCCTGTACGTCCTGTGCTAGCACCACGCACGTGTCGTGCAAAGGTGGGCATGCAGCCAGGACGGAGTGTGCCGGCTCAACGCTCGTGGCCTCCAGTACCCCTCCTCGGTCCCGGATATCCTGCGCCAGTGCCACGTGCTGTAGCGCCAGTACGAGTGCACAGCCCTGTACGTCCTGTGCTGATGCCTCACACATATTGTGTGGAGATAGGCATTCAGCCAGGACGGGTTGTGTCAGCTCTCTGCTCCAGACCTCCAGTCCACCTCCACAGTCCGGCCCGGCCCGTTCCGGCTCCCCGCACCAAGCCTATGGTGCGTGTTCCCAGTCCAGCCCGGCCCGTTCCTGCTCCCCGCACCAAGCCAGTGGTGCGCGTTGACAGTCTGGCCCGGCCTGTTCCTTCTCCCCGCACCAAGCCAGTGGTGCGTGTTCCCAGTCCAGCCCGGCCTGTTCCTGTCCCTCGCACCAAGCCAGTGGTGCGCGTCGCCAGCCCGGTCCGGCCTGTTCCTGCTCCCCGCACCAAGCCAGTGGTGCGCGTCGCCAGCCCGGTCCGGCCTGTTCCTGCTCCCCGCACCAAGCCAGTGGTGCGCGTCGCCAGCCCGGTCCGGCCTGTTCCTGCTCCCCGCACCAAGCCAGTGGTGCGCGTCGCCAGCCCGGTCCGGCCTGTTCCTGCTCCCCGCACCAAGCCAGTGGTGCGCGTCGCCAGCCCGGTCCGGCCCGTTCCTGCTCCCCGCACCAAGCCAGTGGTGCGCGTCATCAGTCCGGCACGGTCCGTGCCTGTTCCACCGGTGCCTGGTCCGGCACCGGTCAGCTGCTCCACACCGGAGCCAGAGCAATCCGCTCCACCGATGTCCAGTCCAGCTCCGGCCAACGGGGCCAGACCAGACCAGGGGCGCTACGGGGGGGTAGAGAGAGAGTGGTGGTCACGCCCGGAGCCGGACCCGCCTCCGAGGTGGAATGCCCACCCGGCCCCTACCCTCTTGTGTTTGGTTGGCGCGGTCGCAGTCCGCGCCTTTGGGGGGGGGGGGTGGGGGTACTGTCACGCCCTGGCTCTGGGGACTCTTATATGTTGAGCCAGGGTGTGGATTTTCTATGTGTCATTTTCTATGTTTTGTTCTAGTTCATGTATTTCTATGTTGGCCAGTGTGGTACCCAATCAGAGGCAGCTGTTGCTTGTTGTCTCTGATTGGGGACCATACTTAGTCAGCCTGTTTGGCACTGTTCATTGTGGGATCTTGTTCCGGAAGGTTTGTGTTCAACCCAGGACTTCACGTATCGTTTGTTTTGTTGTTTTGGTTCAGGTTGTGTACTTAAAATAAAGTATGTACGCATATCACGCTGCGCCTTGGTCCGCTTCATCTAACGACGATCGTGACACCTATCGATGTTACATTGAACTGGGTGAGTCATACAATATGCTGTAATGAAATTAAGGTCGTGCTCATAACAATATATATTGTCCTCCCCTATCTTAAGCGTCACAGACCGCCACTGAGTGGGAGTGATGTCAACACAACCTGTGACAGGTCCAATCGGCCAGACAAGCAGAGCAGGGGTACGAGAGAGAGAGAGAACTGTTCAGGAGTATAAAGAAGGGAAAGGAGATACCTAGTCAGCTGCACAACTGAATACATTCAACCCGAATGTGTCTTCCACATTTAGCCCAAACCCTCTGAATCAGAGAAGTGCGGGGGGCTGCCTTAATCAATGTCATCGGTGCCCGGGGAGCTGTTGTTGAGGGGGTTAATTGCCTTGCTCAAGGGCAGAACGGCAGATTTTTCCTCCTTTGCCGGCTCAGGGATTCAAACAAGCAACCTTTCGGCTCAGCGTGGTCCTCTGTAGCTCAGCTGGTAGAGCACGGCGCTTGTAACGCTAAGGTAGTGGGTTCGATCCCCGGGACCACCCATACACAAAAAAAAAAAAATGTATGCACGCATGACTGTAAGTCGCTTTGGATAAAAGCGTCTGCTAAATGGCATATTATTATTTATTATTATTGAGAGAGAGAGTGAGAGAGATAAGTGTTCAGGAACAGACCAGGGGTATAAGAGAGAGCGAGAAATGTTCAGGAACAGAGCAAAGGAGTGAGAGAGAGAGAGATATAGAGAGGGAGAAGTGTTCAGAAACATTCATAAAGGAAAGAGATGGGCAGGATCTGATTTATACTTCACAGGCTAGGACGTGTACACACACACATGCACACACACACGCACACACGCACACACACACTGATTTATGTGGGAGAGTTCTATAGAGTCCTAGACAGGAAATATCAGACACACAAAGGCAAACAGTATGCAGGAATACACAAACACACGCACACACGCACGCACACACACACACACACACACACAAAATCACATTCACTTCAACCACACTGCTCTAATCCTTAAACCTGCTCATCCTCTTAAAGCAGTAAATACCTCCCACTCAAATGCCTAACTCCTCCCACCTAAGCCCTCAGCCATTGCACGGCCCCCAAATGGCCCGAAGTCCACCTACCTCCTTCCCCTTGCCTAATGGTACCCAAAAAAGTAAAAAAGACAATAACTAAAGCCTTATGCCTCCTCTTTCCCCCCCCTCCTCCTCTCCTTCCCGCCTTCCCTCCTTCCCCTCTCATAAGGCATCCAGTGAGAGAGTAATTACTGTATGTGATTTAACAAGCCCCAGCTGTAACAACACCCTGTTTCTCCCTTCCTCTTCCTGTGTGATTGACTACAACAATGTCTCCAAAGTCAGTCCAACTCTCTGTCCTCCTCCACTCTCCCATTCCATTCATATTGAAATAGAAACAGAGGCCAATGGATAAATGAGTGAATAGAATAGCATCAGAAATCATGTTTCATTGATAGATTAAATCCCCCCCTGGCACCTGCCACCGCCGTACCCCGTCCCCCGTCCCCCAGCGCACAGCGCCCGTCCACCAGCTCCCAGCGCCCAGGGGCATCCTGTGACCCTCTGAATGGCAGCCCTTCTTCTCAGGTCACAGCTGTGCCCCAGAACTATGACCCATGCCCCTTCACTATAGCACATGCCCAATACCCCCCTCTGCCCAATACCCCCCTTTTACCGATACCCCCCTTCTGCACAATACCCCCCTCTGTCTAATACCCCCCCCCCCCCCCCCCCCCCCGCTGCCCATTACCTACCTCTGACCAATAACCCCCTTTACCCAATACCTCCCTCTGCCCATTATCCCACTCTGCCCATTACCCCCCTCTGCCCAATACCCCCCTCTGCCCAATACCCCCCTCTGCCCATTACCCTCCTCTGCCCATTACCCTCCTCTGCCCATTACCCTCCATTACCCCCCCCCCCCCCCCCCCCCCCCCCCCCCCCCCCCCCCCCCCCCCCCTTCTCCCTAACCTGGTTCCCCTGCTAACTTTAAGGGTAGTGACTGGTGGTGTAAAACTCTGTGATGGAGTGCAGTTGGCCAGATCGATAGCGCTCTCCTTCCCAGCAGACATGTAATTAATCCAACCTACAGGAGACCTGGAGACCTCTTCATCACCTCATGCAAAATACATCTCTCTCTCTCTCTCTCTCTCTCTCTCTCTCATTTTTTCCCTCTATGTCGCTGTATATTTCTCTCTCTCTCTCTCTGTGTGCGCCTCTCTCCTTTCTCTATATCTCTTCTCAGTGTTAGGTGCCCTAGCTAGTTGTATATCTGTAGAGAGGGTCTCAGTGTTAGGTGCCCTAGCTAGTTGTATATCTGTAGAGAGGGTCTCAGTGTTAGGTGCCCTAGCTAGTTGTATATCTGTAGAGAGGGTCTCAGTGTTAGGTGCCCTAGCTAGTTGTATGTCTGTAGAAAGGGGGGAAACAGGTGGAGAGAATGAGGAAGTAGAGAAGCGAAGAGAAGGAGATAAAACAAAAGGTAGAGTACTACGAGGGAGAGAGTACCGGGACGGATTAAGATTGATTGAACCTTCATGTTAACAGGGAAGACATATTGAGACCTACAGTAGGTATCTTTTGCAAATGTGCCCTGTATAATACAACATAAATATACACATTATACCCTAAATATATAGAGTGAGGGAAAAAAGTATTTGATCCCCTGCTGATTTTGTACGTTTGCCCACTGACAAAGAAATTATCAGTCTATAATTTTAATGGTAGGTTTATTTTAACAGTGAGAGACAGAATAACAACAACAAAAATCCAGAAAAACGCATGTCAAAAATGTTATAAATTGATTTGCATTTTAATGAGGGAAATAAGTATTTGACCCCCTCTCAATCAAAAAGATTTCTGACTCCCAGGTGTGTTTTATACAGGTAACAAACTGAGATTAGGAGCACACTCTTAAAGGGAGTGCTCCTAATCTCAGTTTGTTACCTGTATAAAAGACACCTGTCCACAGAAGCAATCAATCAATCAGATTCCAAATCTCCACATGGCCAAGACCAAAGAGCTCTCCAAGGATGTCAGGGACAAGATTGTAGACCTACACAAGGCTGGAATGGGCTACAAGACCATCGCCAAGCAGCTTGGTGAGAAGGTGACAACAGTTGGTGCGATTATTCGCAAATGGAAGAAACACAAAATAACTGTCAATCTCCCTCGGCCTGGGGCTCCATGCAAGATCTCACCTCGTGGAGTTACAATGATCATGAGAACGGTGATGAGGAATCAGACCAGAACTACATGGGAGGATCTTGTCAATGATCTCAAGGCAGCTGGGACCATAGTCACCAAGAAAACAATTGGTAACACACTACGCCGTGAAGGACTGAAATCCTGCAGCGCCCGCAAGGTCCCCCTGCTCAAGAAAGCACATATACAGGCCCGTCTGAAGATTGCCAATGAACATCTGAATTATTCAGAGGAGAACTGGGTGAAAGTGTTGTGGTCAAATGAGACCAAAATTGAGCTATTTGGCATCAACTCAACTCGCCGTGTTTGGAGGAGGAGGAATGCTGCCTATGACCCCAAGAACACCATCCCCACCGTCAAACATGGAGGTGGAAACATTATGCTTTGGGGATGTTTTTCTGCTAAGGGGACAGGAAAACTTCACCGCATCAAAGGGACGATGGACGGACCATGTACCATCAAATCTTGGGTGAGAACCTCATTCCCTCAGCCAGGATATTGAAAATGGGTCGTGGATGGGTATTCCAGCATGACAATGACCCAAAACACACGGCCAAGGCAACAAAGGAGTGGCTCAAGAAGAAGCACATTAAGGTCCTGGAGTGGCCTAGCCAGTCTCCAGACCTTAATCCCATAGAAAATCTGTGGAGGGAGCTGAAGGTTTGAGTTGCCAAACGTCAGCCTCGAAACCTTAATGACTTGGAGAAGATCTGCAAAGAGGAGTGGGACAAAATCCCTCCTGAGATGTGTGCAAACCTGGTGGCCAACTACAAGAAACTGTGATTGCCAACAAGGGTTTTACCACCCAGTACTAAGTAAAGTTTTGCAGAGGGGTCAAATACTTATTTCCCTCATTAAATGGCAAATCAATTTCTAACATTTTTGTCATGCGTTTTTCTCGATTTTTTTGTTGTTATTCTGTCTCTCACTGTTCAAATAAACCTACCATTAAAATTATAGACTGATCATGTCTTCTGTCAGTGGGCAAACGTACAAAATCAGCAGGGGATCAAATACCTTTTTCCCTCACTGTACATATATACACATTCAAATACAAAAACACAGTCATGGGAAGCACAAAATAAAACCTCACAAATCACCAGTTACATTCCTCCACAAATAAGTCCCCAATCAATTCTTTAAAATGCCTGAACAGCGCCAGAACATCAGAATGTATTTTGAATTTTGTTCCATCAATACGGTGCATTAAAACTAAAAGTAGATTTACCTAGTTCGGTGGAGACTCTAGGAACCTCAAAATTAATCAATCCTTTGAATGTGTTAGGCATCTCAGATGTCTATACTTCAACATTAAAGTTAGATAAGATGGAAGTTTATGGGCTCCCGAGTGGCGCAGCGGTCTAAGGCACTGCATCTCAGTGCTTGAGGCGTCACTACAGACCCCCTGGTTCGATTCCAGGCTGTATCACAACCGGCCGTGATTGGGAGTCCCATAGGGACTGTGCACAATTGGCCCAGCGTCGTCCAGGTTTGGCCGGTGTAGGCAGTCATTATAAATAAGAATTTGTTCTTAACTGAAGTTAAATAAAGGTAACATTATTTTTACAAAAAATGAAGTAGGGCCTTGTAAACAAAAATGTAGCAATGTAGAGATCTACGGGTCTTTAGCGAAGTCCAGCCAACCATTTGATACACGATGCAGTGATGAGTATCGAAAGTGTCCCCGGTAACAAAACAACAGGCACTATGGTAGATGGCATCCAAAGGTTTAAGAGCAGTAGCAGCTGCACTTTGATAAATAATATCAACATAATCAAGAACAGATAAAAAAGGTTGACTGAATGATCTGCTTCCCACTGCTTAGAGAAAGGCATTATCTGTTTCTGTAGAAAAAGCCTACTATAAATCTGAAACATTCTTACTAGAGTTTAAAAACAACATGTATTTCGTTTTTGCCTGTATTAACCCATCAGAGTCTAAGCCCTAATGTCACAACCTGACCTTTTATGCCTGTTGTTTCTTGTTGGTTTGGTCAGGGTGTGAATTTCTATGTGTACATTCTATGTTGTGTATATCTATGTTGGCCGGGTGTGGTTCCCAATCAGAGGCAGCTGTCGATCGTTGTCTCTGATTGGGGATCATACTTAGGCAGCCATGTTGCCTACCTATGTTGTGGGATCTTGTTTCTGTGTGTTTTGGCTTGTTTGATGTTAGCCTTTAGAACTTCACGTTACGTTGCTTTTGTTGTTTTGTTCGGGGTTTATTTAATAAACGCATACCACGCTGCACCTTGGTCCAATCCTGTACAACTAAGCTATATGGAATTGGTTTAAGAAAGTCATACCAAGCATCATTTAGCTATTTGATTAGGAATTTTATGACCCCTTGAAGTATATATATCCCCCAAAATTTTTTGATTAAATTATTTTTGGCCTTACTGCTATTAGCCCATAGAAACGCATTGAATAACAGATTCATTACATGGAACAACAGTCCCCAAAAAAATATAAAAAGGAAGTTTGTTCTGAAGTGAGAGACATAAGAAAGATCAGGAAACCCCATCAATCATGATGGCCTGAGCTCTGTCACTAAGATAACCATGAAAAGGCGTCAGATCTCAGGCCTTTCAAGGACAACTCATTTAATAAAATAGCATGATCAACAGTATCAAAAGCTTTTGACAGGTCCACAAACAAAGCAACACTTTTCATTTTAGTGTCTAAAGCATTGACAAGATCATTAATAACTAAAGTGGTTGCTGTAATAGTGCTATGGCCAAGCCTATACCCTGATTGGTTTACATTCATAATACATTTCTCAGAAAGAAAAAGAGACTCTTAGCTAGACAAGGAAGCCTTGAAATGGGGCTATAATTATTAAGATCACTATCCCTGCCCTTATGGAGTGGCAGCACGAGCTGATTTCCAAACGTTTGGAATATTTCCTGATAACAATGTTAAATAAAACATGTGGGTTATTGAGCCAACGATGATGGGCGCTGCAAACTTAAGCAGACCAGGATCCAATGGGTCGGCCCCTGTGGATCATTTGTTGTCTATCGCTAGCAAAGCATCCAATACTTATTTTTCTGTAAATAGCCTAAAAGAAAAAACATTGACTATCATTTCTCTGATCATTCAGCAAGTTTCCCCTATCAGCACCCAGACCAATATCATTGTGAATAGGCTTAGAGGTTATTTCAAAGAGATCGCCCGTAAAAATACAATTGTGATTAAATGCATCAATGATGGCACTAAGCACATTCATCTCAGGCCATCACACACTGATATGAGTGCTCTCAGATGTGAAAATGTGAAAATGTGTTGGGACACCACACACACACACACACACACACACACACACACACACACACACACACACATTCCCTCCACCAGAGTGGACTATTTGTACAGGCATATAGAAGGGGCCTGGCCGGGCAGCAGTGGTAATGCAGATGTGGGGTTGTCCATCATGCCCTGTGAGGCGCTACAGAAGCTGCCATTATTGGATCAACACTGCTTCATTGTCTCCACATTCCACCGTCTACTGCT